TCAGTTCTCGTGAAGGCGGCGTCTACAGTATCTGGATCATCTAGGTGAAAGAATTCGTTTTCCTTGCCTTGAGACAGCACAGCACGTGGTTGTAAGGACACGTGACGACCGATGACCTGTTTGACACTAGACGCGCGAACCCGCGGGTCCTGTTCATGAAGAAGGACAAAAATAGCCCAATGCCACAGACCGGAGGACTCCAACTGACAAGCAAACTCGCTATGAAGGCGGGAGGTGGCCAGGGGGTTAAGTTGGCGGTAGCCAAGAGCATAAAGAACACGCCAGAGATGCCAGGACGCAGACCAATCAGAGAGAGCGGGTGTGTTGCGATTCAGACAGTCGCCCTGGCGAAGCAAAAAGGAGGTGGGGTCTAGTGTTCTCTCAAGACTGTGCCATCGGCGACATTTCAATCGTAGGAGATGATAGGCGACGTCTCGGGGCCAGTCGCGAGATTTTAAGACTGCAAAAAATGCCGAATGTTATAAAAACGCTGCTAGAAAGCAGACAGGAGGAAAAGCAGAGAGAACAGCACAGATCGCCGAGAAAGTAATGAAACCAGACCTTAGTATTTGATTTAATAGAATGCATATGCCCGTGAGCTTTGCAAAAGTTCATAAGACCAAATAAGTAAACTTCATTTTCCTTTCAAACATGGGACCTTTTGAGTAGTTTATATCGGTTAAAATGTAATGCAGAGATGGAGGGAACGTCGCAGTAGTCATTTTACAGATATTTTCATAGGTAAAGGAACACCGTTGCGTACTTATAATAAGAGAACAAGGCTCAAAAGTATTCAAGGATGCCAAAGACGGTGCGGGAATAGACAAGAAGAGCATCGCGCCTTTGTTTTAAAAAAGGCCGGTGCCGGTCAGATATATAGATGCAAAGGAAAATGTTGCCTGTGTTCGCTCTATGAAAAATAACGAAAGATAGAGGTACTTTTCAGTGACACATTCTATCGAGGAAGCACTGTAGGGGAAAATTGTTAGTGACGTTTTTATCTGAGCAAGAGTCTTCGTCGCGACGGTTATTTTTCCTGGGGTCTGTGGACTAGCCAATGTGTATGCAGTAAACAGAGGCGCGGACTACCAGAATTGCCTCTTTTTAAAGTTAAGATAATCAAAAGCTAAGAAGAGTTTTTTGGGCAAACGGCTACATACAAGGAAAACCACGATTATCATGTCTTGAAGACGCCTTGTGAAAAAAGACCTTAAAGACTAAGAGGAAACCAGTACTTTAATGCAAGCAAAAATACCCTAATAGAGAAAATGGTAAGTCTACCACGTTATATTAAAAAAATTTGGTCGGTACACAATCATTTAACGAACGACCTTCCCAACAAAGATACAACATAACGTAGTCTTTGCTCTGCTCAACCACATGTAAAACAATTTGAGAGGAAAAATTCTGACCACAAATTTTGAATATTAGTTCGAAAGAATACGTTAGAACACCAAACTATTACCCAGCTGCCATAGTGAACGGTATGCTAATGCCTGGAGAGAATTTTATCCACAAACTGCCCAAAACAGTGTTTGGGCGTTACTGTGACTATTTCACCTTTATGATCAGATTGTGCGAACGTGCATGCTATAGGCATTTCTACAAGATAAGCTTCGTATTTTGGCTGGCTTTTTATCTCCATCTTCACCCTCATAAAAAAATTTAACATGCTTTTGATATTTTCTCTAATAAAGGTCGTTGATTTTTAATTGGACATTTGGATTAACTTATTCGAGCCGGTTTGAGTTATCAGACGCAAATTTCAACAAAATCATACATGGAAAGTGAAAGCCTTGGCTTGGAAATGTAAGGTGGACAACGGCTAATAAAGAATGCGAAAAAAGGATAGAAATTAGAACCTACCCCTCGGCTGCATCATCCCTATGGCAGTTGCGGTAGATCGCGGTTTCCCTGCTGTGTGTAGGTCTGTGACGGTAGGAGGGCAGGGTGGAGCGACCGCAGTAGTTAGTGAGTGCCAATTTTCTGAAAAGAGCTTCAGGGCGCCTAACAAACCCGTTGTGTAGTCCGTCAGGTACCAGAGGTGGACACCCAGAGCCTGTTGGTAACTGACTCCTTCAAGGATATCCAGAACCTCGTTGGCGTAATCAGGGTGCGGAAGGTGGATCTGACCGGCGAGTAGTGCGTAGATAGAAAGTATCACCTTTGGGATACGTTTATCCATCTGGAAAAGGAGACGTTACCGAAGCACCTAACCAAAAGTTATAAATTTGTCTGAAACTATTAAGTGAATGTGGAGTTTGGGATTGATATACAACTAGTCAGGGCAACACAGTCATCGTGCACCTAACAGGAGTGCATTATCTAGCATCTTTAGGGGGAGTACCGTGAAGGCGTATTTCTATAATAAATATCGCTACGGGGAAGTGTATGCGGCTTCATCACAGCGATATCAAGCATCAGATAATACATGCGTCGTCCAGCAAGTCAAACTGCTGACAGGCAAGAAACCAAAAGTGTGCGCGGGGGTGTTTTAAACAACTTTACAATGAAGATCATTCCGCAAATCTAAGGCGGAAAACACTGATACGACTACAGTATCGACAGCGAGGAAGTTTTTACATTGAGCGAACAGACGAAAAAGATTCGCGTACCGCAAGAGGTCCTAACGCCATTATATTTTAAGAACTACTTTTGGAACTACACGAGTAGGATAAGTGTATTCACGTATAAAATTAAAAAGTCAGCAGTTAACAGGTTTGGGCAAGTCAGAAGCTACACACTCACTTTTAGCTCATGCCAAGTTTGAAGCTGTCGCAGTATATCATGCTTGAACTGGGGGTCTCCATTGGGAGCCTGTGAGAGCACAATGGCCATGCTTGGCAGTTGACCGGCCACAGCAATGCGACAGGCCAGCCCCGTCTCTCCGCAACAGAGGCACGCAAAAATACCTTCGAATAGGTTTTGTCTGGACAAATTAGCTCCAGTAGACCAGAGATCGCGAAGTTTGGCAATGGGTTCCGCGTCTTGGCTTTGTGTAAATTCCAACAAATTTGACAAACCTAACTCCTTCAGATGCAATAGCATCCACGGTCGTAGTTGGTCTCTAAAATATTTGAAAACAGAGAACCCTAAGGAAAATAATGTGTTTCTATGCAGGCAAGTAATCCGAGGACTTCACCATAGACGTCTAAAAGGAAGGCGCGTTTTTTTAGCCAAGGTTATCACGTGAATGTGTGAGCTTTGATCTAAACAAGCAGTGAAGTATCTCTTTCGAGACTTCAGCGACATAAGATAGGTTGGTCAACTGGGCAAGTCGAGGCCCGAATTGCTCAACTTCACCCTTCGAGAAAAGACGGCGACCCACATCTGAGTAAACAAATTGCGGTCAGTAACGGAAATTTTTCAAATAACGCAGTGCTACAAAGGCTCATCTGTTTCATCTCAAAATCTAACATCACAGTCCACCCCAGACGTTCAGTACCATTCAGCGTATAACGTTCTTCATTTCTACCTCAGCAAGACAAGACGTTTGCCTTTCTCTTTGCATAAGAGAGTAGGGAGATAAAAATCGTAGAGGAAGCCGAACTTGGTCATAAATTAATCTATCAATTTAAGTACTTATCACAGTCAGTTTTAGTAAGTGGACACATTCTGAAGCTGCGCAAATTATGGATGCTGGTGATATTACAAATGACCCTAGGTTTTCTGGCGTCTCCGTCTCTGTTACCAACGGATTTGAAGTCCTACGACAGAGCCTTAGAAAAGAAGACCCTGGAAGGGAAAACTTGTTCATGCTTCTTGATGTGTGCTGTGCTCTCCCTGTAAGGACGGAATGATAAAGTTCGACTTAAACGCCTCCATTATTTGGCGATGAGTTCAAACAGAAGGCAAAAAATAGGATTCACAGAAGTATCCTTGTTTGCGGCTTAGGCATGTTCACAAAGCTATCGACTCCAAACGCCACCAAAAGTTGCTCTCTGAGTTGTACGCTGCGCTGATCTGCTATACAAAGCGCCAATGACAGAGTTTTCGAATTGCACTCTGGTTACAGTCCCCTGAGTGTTACACGCGTAATTAGGCTCACACTACATTTACCTTAGCACCCTCAGTGCGTGATGCGATGCATCAGAATTAGATAGAAGCAGATAACCACTATACAAAAAACATGACTTTGGGTAATCAACAAAGTTTTATATGCTTTATCGGAGAAATACAGAAGAGCCGTATTTCAGAAAATGTTAACCAAAGTTCTGAAGTGTGTTCTTGGCTTAAGTTGGGGGATAATATTGATTATCGTGTAGCAGAATTCTTCACAAATACGTGTGAATAGCACGCTCACTAAAAATAAACATTTAAGTAATATAGAGTTCTCCTTTTATTTTTATGATTCTGTTTCTATCGTATTTTAGGAAAAGCGTGTGAGAGACCATTTTCAACGCACTCTTAGTTTTACATCAGATAAGCCACCCATATTATACCTATTATTCCATAGTTTTGGTCCACTAGCAGCTGCACAATCTAACATATCAATTTTTTTAATCTGGCAGATTTTGGATGACCAGATTATTCCTGAGCGCACACGAACAAAGGTTTCGGGAATCCGGAATGGTTGTAAATAGGTATTTTGTCCATTTCCAGAGATACAATATACACAGCAGGCTTCGGTTCGATAGTTTGCCCGAGAAGTAAAAATAGAAAAAGTTCATAATTGAGAGCGAACGTTCCTGTATCTCGCTGACACCTTATCCACTGACATCTGTAACGCGGTCAACTGATGGTTGTATAATTTGTAGAAAAGATCGTCAGACGGCATATAGACATCCGTGTGATCGCAGATAATTTAGATGCCACAACATTTCCAGTCGGACGAAAACACGACACTCTTAGATTCTGTTTTTGTTTAAATGCTCATAAATCTCTACAGGCCAACAGGTAATATGAAACACGGTTTACAGCAATTTCAGGCCTATGTACGTCCAGTCCACTTAAAAGCGATGGAAGAACAGCGTGCCCGATCTTACATTTTGAGTGAAATTATTCTAAAGATGCGTGAGGTTTCAACATTTAATCATAATCACTTGCGGTAAAAGACGGACCAACGTTAACTATCGGAAATAGCTACTTGTGAAAGCGATTATACAGCCAAATATCCATGGTACAGACGTTCAGGTGACCGGTAGGTTGAGAAGGGGCCTAACAGACAACAACAGCAAGTGGCAACAACAAAATCAAAATACCTTATCCATTTGGAAACAGCCTGCTTTCGTGCAAGATCTTCGAGGGAGAAGTTTGAAACATAGCGGCGTCGGCTGCCGGCGACGGGGCAACCCATCTCCACATC